CTGCAAAGCTGAGAAATAATATATTTATTTGCAGAAAAATCCTTAAGTTTAATCCTTAAATTTTAATTTCACAAGAGATTTTGTAACTCTGTCAAGATACATATTATTAAATTAATAGTGCAATAAAATAAGCTTACATTAAATATATAATTTAAATATAAACATAATTTTATTTTGGCAAGATATAACCTCTGGTTATAGTGAACGAATTTTGTTTATCTCTTCTAAACAGAAAAAACGTTAAAGTTTTTGTTGCAAAAAAATTTATTTTCAGATATTCATGCAACTCCTCTCATTCGAAAGGAAACAGTCTCCAAGCCTGATTTCAGAACTGGATTTTTAAACAATGGAAAGACGATACTTAAGAAAAATATTAGCTCTAGTAGAGTTATGCTTATATTCTTTGGAGAAGAAAAATTTATTCATTAATTTTTTTAAAAAAAAGATAATATTTTACATTTAACTTTTAACAAAAATAAATAACAGATAAAAAAAATTCTGTAATTCTCTTGGTTTTCAATCTAGATTAGAGGTTTAAATGTCCTCCAAACAGCTCGCTGTGTTGCATTGCCATCTAGCGGACTCCTGCAGCTACTACAGGGTGAAGAGCTCTCTCAGTGTTCAAGGAAACAAAGTTAAAGCTGAAGGACAATAAAGATCACCTCTAGACCAACCCAGGAATTTTTCAGCTATGAAAACTGGCAAAGAGAAAACAAACATCTTAGAAATATTTCAAAAACAATGAAAATACATGTAGTCAATATCATTGTTTATGGTAAATAGAAATGTAATTTAAGGAACAGAAAACAAATACTAATATAGAATATCACAGATTGTACACAGCTTTTGGTTATTTGGTATTTCCGCCTTTTCTTACATAAAAATTAGCATTATAAGGCTTAGGGTGTGGCTCAGTAATAGAGAACATGCTTATAATGCATGAGACTCCAGGTTAAATCCCCAGCAAAAACAACAACAAAAAATCAGCATTATACTATACTATAAGGCCTGATGTTGTCTTCCTTTTGGCTCTTTCTGCACACACACACAGGCGCACATATACACACACACATGTGTTTATATTTGCAAAAAGTGATACAAGACAGTTAAACAAAAATGTGTTTGAATATGATTTACTATAGGGTGAGAAAAATAATATGGAGAAGGAATAGAAATAGAAGCAAGACTTCTCTAAATAATTTGTTAGATAAGATTCTGAAGTCTTATAAGTGTTTTACATTTTTTTTAAAAAAATGAAATTAATAAAAAAGAAATCTGGCAAATAAAAATAAAATGAAATTAATCAACTTAATAAAATACTAAGTTGGTGGCATAATCATTCAGAAGGAATTATATCAGTTTACCTTCAAAGCATGTTCTTGGTAAATTCTTCACAGAATACATTCTTTGGACAAAAGGAGCTGCAATATTGTTTTAACTTAATTGAGTGCCCTTATTTGATATTGGTAGATTTAAATCAGTCTTTACATAAGATAAAGCAAATAAATAATTATTTTTATGTTGCTAGAAACTAACATTTTTCCATGTAAGAGAAAGGAGGAGACAAGAAAAAAAGTAAAAATCCTGTAGAGTTAGTGTGAATTTAAAATATTACTATGAAATATGAAAATATATTTTTATTTTAAAAGATATGTATTTCTAAAAAATGTGTATTTCTTAGTTTTTTCAACTGAAATGTTTAGAAACAATGACAGTCTAATGACAATGGGCTCCTGTGTCACCTAAATATGTCTCTAAAAACCATTTCCCATTCAAAAGAACTAAGGTCCCTTGGAGATATGGCTGATCCTAGATTAAGGGCAAATTTTATGCCATAAAACAAGGAAATACCAACAGAACCCAGAAATCCACTTGAAGGATGTCCTATTGTCAAATGATGTGACATTTGTGCTTGTAAATAGAATAATGGCTGAAACTGGTTGGAAAAACATTGAAAATATAAAAACCCATATGCTCAGAATGATACTTTAAAAAAAAGAGAAAACAAACAAACAAAAATGTCTCTTGTCACTATTGAGGGAAGCCATGTAGCAACTCTACTCTCAACATTGACAACATGAAAAAGGAAGTGTCTATCCTGCTTTTCTTATATGAACTATATTTCAATGTAACCAAATAATCCCAACTTATAAGGAAAAGTTTTTATAAATCATTATAACAGAATACTCACCAATATTAAATCTAGAAAGAATGATCAAATTCCCAGTAAAATAATCCCTTCAGACAACAGTTCATAAATGCTGACACCATTAGGTGAGGTTGATAGATACTGGCTATCTGTAGCCTGTTAAGCTCCATGGTGTGTCCTTATAGTTACAGTGGGAGGGAGGATGCTGTTTTGCAATAAAGAGATCAGGCTGTCACCTGAACCCTGTCACCAATTTTAGGATTGCTAAAAATGAGGTGTTGAGTGCTTCATGATGTCATGCAAAATATGTTCACAGAACTTACTTTTACCAAAAACTGACCTTGGGTTTCATCAAGCTCCTAGTGCTAATTTCCAATTTGTGTGCAAGACGGGAGCAAATAATGTTGGTTAAATAATGTTGACACCATGAGGAAGTAACCAGACAAATCCAGAATGCCAGGTAATCTGTAAAACCATTATTCCTGTTTTTTTTTTCCAATAAATCAATGGAAAATAAGAATAAAAGAGAAGGGCTTCTTACAGATATAAAAAGGATGTGTGGGCATAACAACTGAATATAACACATAAGTCTTTTTGTTTTTTGGATATTAATTTGGGAAAAAGAAATAATCTTTTTTAAAGATATTTATTAAATCTTTAAAAAAGATATTTATTAAACAATTAAGGAATTTTGAATATTTGCTAAGTATTAGATGACAGATATTAATACATTATGATTATTATTTATGTATGGCAATAGTAACTGGTTTTATGTTGCTTTTTTTAGGGAATCATTAAAATACTAAGTACAAAATTCCATATGCCTGGAATTTGCTTTAAAATATGTCAGCAAAAAATGGAGAAGAATAGATTATATAAGATGGCAAAATATTGATTGAAATCAAAGGGCAGACATATGGAGTCTTATTACACTGTGTCTCTCCATTTGTATATGCTTAAAATAAAGAGTATTTAAAGAAAATATAAAAATTTATGTGATGTTTTTTAAAATGCTGTTGCTAGGGTAAAGAATTTTGGTGTTTTAATTCCTTAAGGTAAAAAGATATAAGAAAATAAAATGAGGACTCACTCTACTTGTTTCTCTTCTATATTTTTAGCAGTTCTCTAAAACGAGAGTTTTTAAAGAGGAAATTTCACAGATCATAAGCATTTCCTTCTCACAGTCTTAACTGCTTTGTCTCTTAGGTACTGCCTGCCTCAAAGAAGCTTAAACATGGCATCACAAAAGACAATCCTGGCTCTCCCTGGCCCCTGAATGCACACCCCAAATGGCCAAGCCTACATGATAGTCCCGCTCTGCCCCCAATCCTGATGCATTGGTAGAAACTTCTCTAAGGGCTCTCCTCTCCCAGCCAGGTTGGCCAACTCGCCTCACTGCCCTTTAATTTCTTGCGTACTCTTCCTCCATAGCACTTGACACATGATCTTAAATGTGACTGATTAGGTCCTCAGACTTCAATTCCCTTAGGGCAGGGACTTTCCTTCCAGTGCCTAAGAACTTTCCACAAATAACACATTCTCTGTATCTCCTAAATCCATGCATGCTGTTGTACTGTCCTCTTTATGTCTTGCTGACCTAGGTAGAAGACTTTCACTACCTAAACCCTCCTCCTTCATTCCCTTACTAAGATTTGGAGGTTCTATCTCATTTTTGAGACTGCTTTCTTATAATAATTATGGCCAATTTTATTGATCCAAAGACACTATAGTAATCTCCCTTATCCATACTTTTACCTTCTGTGGCTTCTTTTTACCAACAGTCCAACTGCAATCCAAAAATATTAAATGGAAAATTCTGAAAAAAAAAAATCATGTCTTAAAAAGTACACCCTTGTGAGATGCCCAGTGAAATCTTGCATGATTTGAGGGTTTGGGCATCCACTGGGATCTTGGAATATATCTCAATAGCTAAAGGGGACAACTTTAATTGTCTGTCAGGGTTTTTAAGGCTCCACATCAAACCAAGGGGTTCCTGCCTGAAGTTTGTCCAATTTTTATATAAGAGAAGCTTATGATCACCTGGTCTAGGGATTAGAGCAGTAACACATCAAAATAGTTTTAGTTTATAGGAAAGTGAAGTAATCACACAATTTGTATGAATTTCAGTTTTCTTGAAGCTTTTAAAAAACACTTTTATTGAGATAGGTCACATACCATAAAATTCCAACATTTAAAGTGTATTTTTAAAATGTTTTTGAATGTATTCACACATTTGTTCAACCATCTCCATAATCTAACCTCGCAACATTTTTATCACTTACCTCCCCAAATCCTACTGTTAGTCATCACTTCTTATCTCCCACTCTTGGTGCTACATTCCCACTAATCTATTTTACCTTATAAATTCCTTATTCTAGACTTTTTATATAAACAAAATCTTATAATATGTGGGGTTTTTTTATGACTGGCTTCTTTCATGTAAGAATGACTTCAGGGTTTATCCATGTTATAACATCTATCAATACTTCATCCCTTTTATTGTCAAAAACTACTTCACTATTAAAAAAATATCATGTTTTGTTCATTCATTTGTAGGGGAAGAATATAGTTTTCTTCAATCCCCTATAGGTTCTTGGTCGGAATTGTGAGAAATAGAAAAGTCCTGTGGTCCATTTCCAGAATACACTATTTAGCCTTAAATGTAAAATTGGGATGTAAGATTCAATTATAGCCATTTTAACGATAGTCTTTCTTTTGCCAAACCCAATTTTAAAATTAGCCAATCGCATAGATTGTAACTCCAGTTCCTCCTATGAGAGCAAAGGGTAATGCCTGCACTGGGGATAAAAACAGGCAGACTGTCTGCTCAGGCCTGCTTTCTTGCCAGATTTTTTTTTCCTGTAGCATGCCCCTTGTGCAGTTTGCCTTGTGGATTAATTTTTGAGCATGTTCCTGATTTATTGCGGCAACTGGATATTTCTAACAGGCAATAATCTTGGGGGCTTGTCTGGAAAACTACACCACCCAGGGGGTCATGGAGACATATCCCACTGCCTTTTTGTGGTGGCCTCAAAGTGGTGGGGGGAAACCTGCAACTGCTGAAGCCAATAACAGACTCAAAACCAAGTTGATGGGCAATGCTGCAAAGAGCCCAAGTAAGCAGAGCAGTCAACCAGGTAATTCTGTGAACGGACCAAAGTAGGAAAATCTATTCTCAAAAAAGAAGTACTTCCTTGGTGGTTGAGACATCCCTGAGGTTGTCTGAGGGTGAGTAAGACATAGTGCAAGAAATCTCCATAACGGGGGTTGAGCCTCCACATTAAAAACTCAAGTCTAGAGAAAGAGGATGTCGGCCAGGGAAAAGACACCAAAATTCCCCCAGAGAGCCTTCTTGGGTCTTGTGTTAAAATATTGGAAAGATAGTCCTAGGGAGGGGGTGGGGCAAAAATGATAAAAATACTGTTGTTTCATTTGGACTCAGGAACCTATCTTAAAGCCTTCAGTAGTTTGGCCAAAGATTGTTGCAAATTTCTATTATTGAGAGAATATGTAAATGATAAAATGTCTGGTAGCCAGGCAGAGATAGATTATGTTCTTTGTAGTCCTCTTTCCTCTTAAATTTACTAAAAATGAGGACAAAACTAGAAAGACTCGGAAGGAAGAATCAAATGAATGGGATCCCTTAACTTGTCTTCCCCCAGGAAGGTTTCAGAAGAGGGCGGAGAGAAACCAGAGCCCAAACAGGGACTTCTACCTCTCCCCAGCGCCTTGAATCCTTCCTTGCCTAGACAATTGAAAAAAAAAAAAAATTAGAACAATGCAAACAGGATACTCAAAGTTCCCCTTTCCCCAGGGAGAGAAAAAATCTGGCTCCTTTCCTTCCTCTATCCACCCTGTTTCCTTAATGTGAGGCTCCGAGGGGGAGAAATTGTGTTTATACTTTAACTAGCTCTGATTTGAAAAAAAAAAAAAAAAAAACAACTTAAATGGGAACTACAGTATGTGTTGGGAGACCACATGAGGTTCCAGACCAATTAAACCAATCCCTCAACCCCCAACTTTACGCCCAGATCAAGCTTATGTCCATATTGAATAATATTGAAGGAACGAGGAATAGATTCCCAAAGAAGCATCGGCAGCTTGAGGATGTGAACATTCAGCCTGATCTGAGGTTCTTCCCACCTGCTGCTGTAAAATTCCCAAATCAAGAGCCCCTCTGAGATAATAATTATTAAATACATAGGGGACACGTGAGAGATCTTAGAGATTTAATTGTAAAGGGAACAAGGAAGGCAGTCCCTCGATCCCAAAACATAGGCAAGGCTTTTGATATAAAATAAGGAAGAAATGAAGGGCCAACAGAATTTTAAATAGATTGAAGGAAGAGATGAGAAAATATTCTGGATTATATGTTGATGACCACTTAGGGCAAAAAATGTTAAAGCTACATTTTGTGACTAATGGTTGGCCTGATACTGCAAGAAAAGTACAGAAATTAGAAAATTGGCAGGATACAAGTTTAGAGAAATTATTGAGGGAAGCTCAAAAAGTTTATGCAAAAAGGGATGAAGAGAAAAGAGACATAAGGCTAAAAAATTATGCTCTCCATTATAGAATAAGTAACCAAAGAAAAACAGGTCCTAAAAACCAGGTAAAGAAAGAACCCCACTCAAGATACCATAAGAAACAACAGACCAAAGGACCACGGGAGGAAAAAGGAGAAAATAAATGCTATAACTAGAGAAATGGAAAGATCCTTATATGGAGACAAGTCTCCATTTCCTTGAGAACTTTTTCCTGAGGAACTCATGGAACCTCACATTCTTTAAATATCTGGACTACTCTAATCTGATCCAAAAGTGCACTGTGACTGGATAGATGTTCCATATTCTCCTTTCCACAAGTAATTACGGCTATATCATTTTTTTCTTTCTTTCTCTCTCTCTTTCTTTCTTTTCTTTCAGAACATCAGTCTTGTCTGAGTTCATTGTTTTTATGGTGAATTTACATTTGGACCTGTACACCTAAATGAATATTGCATTCCAATTAGTCTTGTTTTGTCTAAATGGAATTTTTAGCCTTCTGTTTTTCCTGCTGTCTTTTATTCAATTATTCAATTATTCAAGGAAAAGTTATAAAATCTTTATTCCCTGTAGGTTTTTATGTATATTTGTGCACACTCTTGTATTGTATGCCTACATATGTGTTTTTGTCTATTTATCATTTACATGGTACCAAAATTGGCGTATAAGTAAATGAGAGTTCATACATTTTTTAAAAAAATGGATTCAAATGACTTTTGTAACTGTGAGATGTATTCATTTTCTCCAAGTGTACAAGTCTTTTAAAATATAAATCTTTAAGAAAAAATTTAATTTAAATTGGTTAAATAGATAAAGAGTAAAGATGTCTTTTAAACTATTAACCCACAAGCTTTTCTAGCTGACCAGCCAATCAAGAAAATTTAGTTTCTATAAATGTCGAGTGCAATTTCCATTGTTCTTAAGGATTTTTCTTTGTAGGAATAACTGACTTAAAGTGTTAACTAGACTTATATGATACCCTGGTTTTCATGGGCAACCTAAATTAAAAATGTGTAAATAAGTTTTGATATAAATGTGATTAGTCTTCATAAATGTGTTTGTTAGAAAAGACATCTGATTATTTTGCAAAGTTAAAAATAACAGCAACTGCTAAATATAAATTCAAGTATTCTTGGCTTCTTGAAAACTATAAGACAATATATTGGATCTATTAGATGTGTTTTTATAAGTTGTGTGTAAATGGGATAACAGTTTAAGACTGCATTGTTTCTGGGTTTTCACTGAAAGTAAGGTTTCTAAGAGTTAAAATTTTAATAGGTATAATTCTTTAGGCAAAGAGTAAAAGTGTTTCAGTTGTGTTTTAAGTACTGTGAAACAAAGTATTTCACCTTATTTAAAAGGAGAAATTTGTTTAAACTCAGGAATTTTCTAAGGATTGTTTCAGAATATAAATTTAATAAAAGATTTGAAACTAGAAACAGATATAAGAAAGTTATATTTATGGAAATATATTTTAGTATGGAAAATCAGAAGGAATGGTAAAGAATACTCCTATGCTAATGTCCAAGATATAAGAGGGCAAGAGTAGGGCTGTAAACAAGTTGTAGAATGTTAAAGTTCCAAAAGGTTTATGGAAGGTCAATATCAAAGTGTTCATGTATGTGATTAAGTTGGCTACAATCAGCACAATCAGCTAAAGTTATTCAAGGTGTTTTTTTTTTTAATAAGTTTACTTTTAATGTGCTAATTCTCTGTTTAGAAACAAGGGCTCCTTAAAACATCAATCTGCTCTTATCTATCAAAATAATTTCTTCTATCTGTTAGGTTTTATTATTTAGGGAAATTAAGTCTTAAATGCATTAGCATTTATACCTGTTTTATATAAGGGGGACAAACGAATGTCAGTAGAGGGAGCAGAGAGAGAAGAGGGGAGGGGAGGGGAGGGGAGGGGAGGGGGGATAGTAGAGGATAGGAAAGGCAGCAGAATACAACAGACACTAGTATGGCAATATGTAAATCAATGGATGTGTAACTGATATGATTCTGCAATCTGTATATGGGGTAAAAATGGGAGCTCATAACCCACTTGAATCAAATTGTGAAATATGATATATCAAGAACTATGTAATGTTTTGAACAGCCAACAATAAAAAATTAAAAAAAAAAAGACATGGATAAACACTCCATTAAAAAAAAAAAAAAAAAAAAGTTTTTCAAGTGATTGCTTTGTAACTGGTTGAATAAACAACTGTTATTTTAGGTTATTACAATATAGTTGACATCTTAAATATGTGTGAGCAGATACATATACATCTGAGAACTGTTTGAGCCTTGTTTAAGTGTTAATGTACAATTTTGTAAAATTAAAGTCTATGTAGGTTTATTGGCAAAGTAATTAATAAGTACTCTCTTTTATACATTGTATCTGACATAGGAAGGCCACACTGTCATATGAAGACCTGGCTTATATCCATTTGCTTTGACTAAGTCTATTTCTGATCATCAACACTGTTTCCTAACCATGTAAGAGATTTAAAGTTATACTTTGATTTTTGTCAGTGTTGCTAACATATGCAGGCCTCTGATTATAGTTACCCTAAATAATAGATTCTAATTTCTTTTGAAAGTTAAACTTAGTTAATATCAGGACATCAATGTAACTGTGAGATGTTTTCATTTTCCCCAAGTGAACAGTCTTTTAAAATATAAAACTTAGGAGAGCAATTTATCAAACTGATATTCTTCAAACTAAAGCTGTGTGTAGTGATAGTCTCTTTCAGACTTACATAAAAATAACAAATTAAGTTGGGAATTTATTTATGTCATTAACATTTTGTAATTGCATAAAAATAACCTGTCATTCATAAGCAATATATAAAGATCTTGTGCTACTATGTACACTGGGATGGTAATATAAATATATTTTTGAAAGGTAATCAGAAAAGCCTGATTTACTTAAAGGTTAATAATGTGGAACATAAAAACATTTTGCCACTTTTTTCAAAAAAGGTACATTAAAAGCTCTCTTTGCTTTTGTTTGATTCATTTTTCACATGTAATGTATTATATAAACTTATACTCTCATAGACTCAGGAAACAATATATGAAAATTTTGTAAAATGACATTTACTACGAAAGAGGCAAAGATCAACTTCAGAACAAAAACACTTTACCTAAGATTAATCAAGAGCCTTTCCTCACCTAATATAAGGCTCTGCCTCTCACCTTATTGCATGTTAGGATGGCACCAAAGTAGGATAGACTTAAGGCTATTTAAAGTTATGCTCAAAGGATAGATTTTTGTTGCAAAGATTCCTGTGATCTCAATAAAAAATTGGAGATATAGTACAAAACTTAAAACTTAAGTAAAGGTTTGGATGAATTATAAAATGTATTTAAGGTTGTAAAAGAGTTTCAAAAGAAAGTAAAATTTATAAAGGATTTTGTATGTGATTGAGTTGATAAATTTATGGGTCTTTGTGGAGGCAAAATAGATAACAAAGATATATTAGCAATGTTATAGAAATCATGTTTCTTGGTTTGTAGCTATTATACAAACTGAATATGTTTTTGCTCTTGTTAACTTCATTTTATATTTTCCTGTAAGATTTTGTAACTGTTGCCTGTTAGTGTTTTGTAAAAGTACTTCCTCTAAGAGAACAACTTGATTTAATTTGAGATAATAAGCCATCACCTATAGGACAGACAGGATATAAACCTTACTTCTGGTGCTAATATTGACCCCAATTAAATGGAAGGAGTAACTATAAAATTATAAACATTGAAGTTAAAACCCAGTAGTTTGACTTCAATACTGGTGAATCTTACCTGCTGGCTGTCCAAAATTTGGAGACCAAAGTCAAGGAAGAAAAAGGGCCAAGGAAAAAGCAGCAATATTTTTTGGCCCGTGCCCTCTAATGTCAACCAAGATTGAGGGAATAGTATGACCTTTCTCTGGGCTTGCATATCCCATGATTCCCCTGACCTCCTGATCAGATGGATCATAAGTATCCTAGGCAACAGAAGCCAACCAGTGCACATTCTGCAAAGAGCAGGGTCATGGGAGAAGGAAATGTCCCTGATGCTTCCAAGGGAAGTTATATGTAGTCAGCAAGATTCCGACCCATCCTGGCAGATGGCACAACTGATAGAAGGCGGCGAAAGGAGCCAAGAGGCTTCTCACAATTCCCAAGAGTGATAGCCAACAGATATCAGCTGGCTCTTACAACACATAGGAAAAGGTCAGTGTTGACCAACTTGATTTTAAACACCTGGCAGGAGAGTACAATCAAAGCACAGCCATACACGTCTTTCCTTTTAAAAGAAAAGACAGTGGTTCTCTTACGTAACTTGAGGCGTACATTTAGATCAGTCCCCCCAAAAGTAGGTAAAGTTGGGAGGTTATAAAGGGAAGGTTTTTATACAGGAGTGTCTGATATTTAGCACAAAAACTCTGTGTCACAAGTTTGTTCTGAGTCAATTTAAGACCTCTCTGTGTTTCTTTCTTTCTCTTCTTTTTGCTGGTATGATCATCATGACCTGCTGCTCAGACTCCTCCTCTGGGGTTGGCATTTCATCACTTCCCACCTGGCAACTTGATTTTAAACCTGGAAAGAAGACAAGCCTCAACTGAGCTGGAAAGAACCTTACCAAGTGCCCCTGATCACCAGGACAGCTATCTGAACTGCTAAAAAGGGGAGAACTCATTACCATCAGCGTTCTCTACTTCAGAAAGTTACTATGGCTAGGAAGAATGGCAATATGGGGGGCTGGGGATGTGGCTCAAGCGGTAGCGCACTCGCCTGGCATGCGTGCGGCGTGGGTTCGATCCTCAGCACCACATACAAACAAAGATGTTGTGTCCGCCAAAAACTAAGAAAAAAAAGAAAAGAATGGCAATATGAAAGGTTAGAAGAACAAAAATGACAATGAGACTGAAAGGTATTTTAAAAAAGTGGCGGGGGGGAATGCTTGGGGGAAATAGAAAGTCTGGTGGTCTGTTTTCAGAATATAATACTTAGCCTTAAATGTAAAATTGGGGTAAGATCCAATCATAGCCTTAACTTTAGTGCTTCCTACAGCCTCCCCAATTTTAAAATTAGCCAATTGTGTAGATTGTAACCCAGAGCTCCTCCTATCAGAGCAAGCAGCAGTGCTGCATTAGGGTTAAAAAACCAGTGGACTGTCGACCCAGGTGTGCTTTCTTTCCAGACTTTGTTCAATAGCACACCCTTCTGCAGAAGTAGAGTTTGCCTGGCTGAATAACTTTTGAGCATATGCAAGATTTCTTGCAGCACCCCAATATTTCTAACAGACTAAGCCCCTATAACAAAAGATAGATTAACAAAGTCCCTTATCAGGTAGGTGATTTGCAAATATTTTCTCCCATTTCATGGGTTGTCTTTTTACTGTTATGGAGACATCATTTGTGATACAAAACTTTTTAATTTTGACACAACTCAGTTAATTATTTTTTCTTTTGTTGCTGTACTTTTGCTGTTAAGAAATCACTGATTATCAAAGGCCATAAAATTAGTCCTATGTTTTTTAATGAGGTGTATAGTTTCAGCTCTTTAATTTAGGTCCATAGTCCATTTCAAGTTAGTGTTTGAATATGGCTTGAAGTAAAGATCCAATTTATCCTCTTGCATAGGTGGGTTGATATTCATATCACATATCATAGCACCATATTTGGAAGTATTCTTTTCTTATTAAATTGTCTTGGCAGTCTTGTTTAAAATCAATTGACCATAAATGAATAAACTTATTGTTTGTAAGCCTCTTTATTGAAGTATGATTGGCATATAAAATGCTTTATATTTTATCTTATATAACTTGATGAGTTTGGAGATAAGTATATATGACCTCCAAAACCACCCATTCTCTTTAGTGTGTGTGAATGTGTGTGTGTGTGTGTGTGTGTGAGAGAGAGAGAGAGAGAGAGAGAGAGAGAGAGAGAGAGAGAAACAATTAACACAAGATCTACACTGGCATTCAGTTTTTAAGTATAGAGTACTATATTATTAATTAAAGGCAGTATGCTATACTCCAGATGTCTAGGGATTATTCATTTTGCATAAATGAAATTTAGTAACCTTTTCTTATTAGTTCCCTTTTTCTCCTCACCATAGCCTCTGGAAACCACCCTTTTCCTCTCTGCTTTTATGAGTTTGACTATTTTGAATTCATCATAAACATGAGATCACATTGCTAATTGTAAACCACCTGAAAAAGAAAGATACAATAAAGAAAATTAAATTTAAAAAATAAGTGGGATCATGTAGTGTTTGTGTTTGGATTATTTCACTCAGCATAACGTCCTCTAGTTTTATCCCAGTTGTCCCAAATGGCAGGTTCTTCTTCCTTGATGGAACAGCACCCCATTTTATGTATGCATCACACTTTTTTTACCCAATCAACTTTAATGGACATTTAGGTTTCTTCCCTGTTTTGATTATAGTAAATAACACTGCAATACCTGGGGTGCAGATGTCTGTTTGAGATACTGATTTCAATTCCTGTGGCTATAGACCCAGAGGTGAAATGGCTGGATCACTGGGTAGTTCTATTTTTACTCTTTTGAGGAGCCTCCCTGCTGTTCTCTGCATAGAGTTCTGTTTCTGGACTGCTAGTTGTATTCCATCAATCCATGTGTCTTTCCTCATGCTAGCAAAACAGTGTCTTGGCCACCGACATTTTGTAATGAATTTTAAAGTGTGAGTCCTCCAACTTTGCTCTTTTTCAAGATTGTTTTGTCTATTTTGAAAATCCCTTGCATTTCCATGAATAGGGCAATTGCCAAATGAATTTTAAAACTCCATATATTTTGCTCTTCTGGAATGTTGTTATTTATGTGTTGCTCCTTGTTATAACTTCCAACTCCTTTTCTTTTAACTCATGATTTCCTTTTTTTATTTTTGATTCATTTTTTATTTGTTCTTTTTAGTTATACATGACAATAGAATGTATTTTGACATATCATACATACATAGAGTATAATTTCCCATTCTTGTGGTTGTACATGTTGTGAAGTTACAACAGTCATTAATTCATATAGGAACATAAGAATTCATTCTACTGTCTTTCCCATTTCTATCCTCCCCTTCCGCCCGTCACCCCCTGCCCTGTCTAATCTGGTGAACCTCCCTTTCTCTGCCTATTGTGAGTCAGCATCCATGTATCAGAGAGAACATTCAGCATTTGTTTTTTGGGGGATTGGCTTACTTCACCTAGCATGACAGCCTTCATTTCCATCCATTTACTGGCAAATGCCACAATTTCATTCTCCTTTATGGCTGAGTAATATTCTATTGTGTATATGTACACATTATCCATTCACCTATTGAAGGTTGGTTGGTTCCATACCTTAGCTATTGTGAATTGAACTGCTATGAGCATTGATGTGGCTGCATCACTATAATATGCTGATTTTAAGTCCTTTGGGGGATATGCCAAAGAGTGGGATAACTAAGTCAAATAGTGGTTCCATTCCAAGTTTTCTGAGTAATCTCCATACTGCCTTCCAGAGTGGTTGCACCAATTTGCAGTGCCATTGGCAATGTAAGAGTGTAACTTTTCTCCACATCCTGAACATTTATTGTTACTTGTATTTTTGATAATTGCCATTCTAAATGATGTGAGATGAAATCTCAGAGTAGTTTTTTTTTTCCTCCGTAGCTTTATTGAGGTAAAATTGAAGTGCAATAAAATGCACATATTTTGAAGAATGCAATTTGATTAGTTTTGACATGTGTTTAACCAATACAATCAATATAAAAGCATTTCCATTACTTTTTAAAAAAATTTAAAATCATGCAGACTGTGTTTCCTGCATGATTTATTACATTAGAAATCAATCACCTTAAGATATATAGAACCCTACCCCCACTAAATGGCACACTTATAAATATCTCAAGGTCAAGGAGGAAAGCACAATAAAAGTAAATAAAAAGCACTTTGAACTAAGTGATAATAAAAGTTTAAAATATCAGGATCTCTGGGATAAACATTTATAACTTAAAGTACTTGTATCAGAGAGAAGCTACAATAACAATCAAATCATTTTCAAATTATGTATAGGAAGGAAAAAATAAGAGTAAGAGCAGAAATATATGAAATAGAGAAATAATACAGCTAAAATTTGATAAAAATCAAACAAGTCTAATCAAGAAAAAAAGAACAAAAAAATTAATACCATTGGAAAAGGTTTTGCTTAGGTGGGCTCCAGGCTCTTTACTGAATGCCAATTGGTCTGGAGATTTTAAATCAACACACCTCCAGCACCAAATACGTGCTGGTCCATGCTGGAAAGCCATGCACCAGGGATCTCCCCTAGGTTCCACTCATATAGTAGGGGGACCCAATTCTTAGTTCCATATATTACCTTCGGGCCTCACATTTCCTGGTCTTGGGTTCAGTCTCCAATCTTTCCGAACCCTGTCCTTCTAAGTTTCTGGCTAGATACATCTCTCCCCAACGATCTGCAAGTCATTGTATTAGAGCTGAGATGGATAGAGCCAGGTAGGTTGTCCCTGTGTAAACCACTCTCCACATTTGATTTTCCTCCTTGTCACTTAAGCACACTACATGCTGTGCAGTTATGTATTTACTGGACCTTTATTTCAGGCCAATCTAAGGTTTGCCACAAATTGGCTTCCTCAGCTGCCAGTTCCCATGCAGTGATTGCAAAATGGTTTCTTCCTTTGTCTTCTGCATGCTACCTGGAGAAATGGTGTTCTCTTTCCACACACATGTATATTGTGCAGTGCATCTTTCAGGTTTGCTGGGCAATGTCCTTGATCGCTAAATACTTCATATCCAAATACACCTAGGGCCTCCCCAAAATATGGGTTCCTTTAATTTCCTTATCCCTCCACTATGCTCATGGAGGGACCACTCCAGCCCAGCTGCAGCAGCAGCTGTGTCACTGGGGATTTCTTCCTTATTTTATTATACTAACTTCCTGAGTCCCCAGTCTGATTTGAATTTCCAGTTTTAAATTCCAGCAAATTCCCCCTGCTTTTCTTTTTGTTCACCCACCTTGCTGAGAAGCTTCCTGTCTGCTTTTTTTGGTTTCACTCTATGGAGCAGCCAGGAAAGTGACCCCTCTATTCTGCCATCTTGAAAAATCTCCCTGGTTTTAAAGTTGAATTAGTTTCTCATTTGATTGACTATTCTTTTAGCATGGTTCCTTCCTTTGCTGGTTTTCACTTTTCTTCCTCATGAAATATCTTATTGACTATGTTTTGTAGTGCAGGTTTTCTAGTAGTGAATTATCTTAACTTTTATCATGGAAGATTTTTATTTCATCATCAATTCTGAAGCTTAATTTTACTGGGTATAGTATTCTTGGTTGGCATCCATTTCCTTTCAGAACTTGGTATATATTATTCCAAGACTTTCCTACCTTTGAGGGTCTGGGTTGAGAGATCAGCTGAGATCTGGATTGGTTTCTACCTAATGTTACCTGTTGTTTTTCTCTGGAAGCCTTTAAAATTCTATGCTTATTCTGTATGTTGGGCATTTTCATACTAACATGCCTTCATGTGGGTCTCTTGTAACTTTGTGTATTTGGGATTCTGTAAACTTCCTGTATTTGATTTTCCATTTCATTCTTTAGGTTTGGGAAATTTTCTGACATTGTTTTTACTGAAAAGATTATGCATTCCTTTGTTTTGTATCTCCAAGCCTTCATCTATTCCAATAAATTTCAAATTTTCTCTTTTCAGGTTATTCCATATTTCTTGGAAGTTCTATTCATGGTCTATTAACATCTTTTCTCCACAGTCAACTTTGTTTTAAGATTATATATTTTGTCTTCATTGCCTGACACTTTGTATTCCAAGTGATCCAGTCTGTTGGTAATGCTTTCAATTGAATTCTTAATTTGATTTATTGATTCCTTTGTTTTGAGGATTTCTACTTGTTGTTTTTATTTGTGTGGTTTTTTTTCAGAATCTATCTCTCTTTATTGAAGTAATCTTTCACTTCCTGTATTTTCTCTCTGATTTCACTCCTTACACTGTCCTTTACTTTGCAGATCAGTTTAACCATGTACATTCTAAACTTCTTCTCTGACATTTCTTCCACTGTGGTGTTGATGGATTCTGTTATTGGAATGTCTTGGTTTATTTGGGGCATTTTTTCCCCTTGCTTTTTCATGTTGTTCAAAGATTTAAACAAATCTTCTGTGCAATTAACTTTGGTTCACTGTGGCAAACATATCTTTCAATTTCCAGTTAAACGGGTTTAAAGTTTTGTATTGTATATGTATGTGTTTTGTGACTGAATCTTTCCATATCTTATTACTATCTTATTTCATAAATGCTTTAGTGAAATATAATTCATTATATAAAATTCACACTGTTAAAGTTCAAAATTCAGTGGTTTTTAGTAGATCCACACTGTTATTCAATCATCTAGTTCCAGATAGTCTAATTTCATAATGTTTCCATTGCCCCCAAAAGAACATCAATCTTAGTTCATGAGGACTTCTTGTCAAGATTCTTGACTGCTATTTGCTTATTCAAAACTAAAGTGTAGGGGCTGGGGAAGTGGCTCAAGCGGTAGTGCGCTCGCCTGGCATGCGTGCGGCCCGGGTTCGATCCTCAGCACCACATACAAACAAAGATGTTGTGTCCGCCGAGAACTAAAAAAATAAATAAATAAATATTAAAATTCTCTCTCTCTCTCTCTCTCCTCTCTCATTCTCTCTAAAAAAAAAAAAAAAAAAAAAAAAAAAAAAAAAAAAAAAAAAAACAAAACTAAAGTGTATTCATGCCA